AAAGAGTTTAGTAGAGTTTCTATATCCCATCCCTTTCATGACGTTAGAGAACATGCCACTTCCCATTTCTGCTAGCACAATGTATAGTTAACCAGAGTAGCTTCACATCTGATCATAAGCCCTCATCCACTTAATAGCAGGACCAATAGTGAACCCCTGGTCACCTTCAGTTAAAGGCTGTTAAGGACCATTTTAAGTTGCACTTGTAATATACATAAGCAAATATTTGCTGAGCTCTGACCCATTCGCTGACATAACCCTAACAGTTGAGAGTTCTTGTACATTCGATTTACCGCACAAGACGCAAGTAAAAGGTCAACTGTGGTTTCTCTCATGCATATGTTTAGTGCCCTTTGCCCTTTAAAGATTAAAGGGTGGGGGTAAGAAGCCAAGTTCTTACCCAGCTTGAGGAGTTAACTATCTGTCCTACTAAAGCCACCTACAGCTGTTAGTCTTCACAGAGTCCCTGACATTTTGAAGGCTGAAGGACAGCCAATAGAGAGGCCCCGGGTAGCATTCCAGGGAATCCGTATTAGGGAATGGGACCCTTTCAACTTCTCAGCTCACAGACAGGAATCCAGTCTATTTATATCAGCAAGAAGAGGGCTCGCCTGCCTCAACAAATGGTGTGCATTTCTTGTGACCTTGTTTCTTGCACAAGCCTCCCTCTAAATGCCAGACAGCTATTCTGTAGCTGTTGGAACATAACTCTGCCAGCTAGTTCACCAGAACCTCTCTGTAGTAGCCATGAGTTCGCTTCCAAGACTGAAAAATATCAGACAGTTACTTGCAGACCCCAGGGATAGGATGCATACATTGAATTAGGAATTTATTAGTAAAGAAATAAGCAAAGTGATGTTCACCATGTGTTCCATATGTTAAACACCAAAACCCAGGGCTGTGTTGCAGAAGTGGTATGATATTCTAGTCCAGAAAACACTCCTGTAGATTCTGAAGAAAGCAGTTTTATCAGAACTTCTAATCACCTACTTGCATAATACCCATTTTCAGTAGCTGGAAGGACTAAATATTCATCGCAACACAGTTACTTGCTTTTAAGGACTGCTTTTTCAAGGGCAGCAGCAACTACAGAACACAGCCTGTTTCAAAAGACGTTGAGGGGGAATGTAGGCCAGCAGCCTCAAGCATCACAGCTCATATTTTAACCAAATAGAGAAATTCAGATTCTGATCAACTGAACAGAAGACTCTACATGAATGCTAAACTGTACTTTTCTAAGGCAAAGCCATTGTTAAGAAGCTAGATGTAAACCACTAAGTTTCATTACAAGATTAAAGCACTCAGAAATAGGATGCGTCTCTCTTTAGAGAGCAAGTTCAGAGAAGGGAACCTCATCTTTTTGCACAAAGCACAAGAACAGGCTTCTAGATACTGTGATAGTCTAAACCACAAAAAGGGAAGAGTCTCTTGAGAACCTGTAACCAAAGATTTGTTCGAGTATAGCAAGTTGTCATAAGATACAAGCAACAGTTAATGGATTCTGAACTGTAGGCTCTCCAAGAGTTTGAAAACAGAATTCCAGCTATGATTTTTTGGTGGTGCTTGGACAGGAGCGACTAAGTTTTTCTTTTGCTTAGAGTGGACTGATGCATATGCTTAAGTCACACCTTGCTAAACCATCAGGAAAATGTAGTTTGGTACACACTTGATCTGCCTTTTGAAAGTAAGTACTTTGTTACAAGAAGATACACTTCCCAAAAGCTAACACTGTTCTTCAGGCCTCATCTTGGCTTAAGTATCTGGTATTGAAAACATTAGGCAGCACTCTGACAACCCAGACACTTACCTCATGAGTTCCATGAGAGAAGTTGAGGCGAGCAACATTCATGCCAGATTTAATCATTTCTTGCAGCATTTCCACCGAGCGGGAGGCTGGGCCTAAAAGAAGGAAACAGGTTGATGGTGAAAGCTTTAAGTCTGTAAAACCTAAAAACAAAAAGGTAACAAGACAAGATAGTTCCTAGTTCTGCTATTTCACATAGCAAACCCCTCTATTCCTAAACCAATCCATTTATTCATAGATAATAAATACACACAGTGCACATCTCCTTGCTGGACTTACAGAAACTGCACACACTGACTTGCTCCATGTCCTCAAAGCTCCAAAACACTGAACTGATCCAAGAGCTCAGTAAGAAGTTTTTATAACAACACCCAGGTAGCTCCTCTAAGCAGTACCAGAGAATTGCACTAGACTTAGTGCTACATTTTTGTCCATCAGCTGAGATCTGATGGGAAGGAAGTGATAATATAAAGACAACCGCAGTAGCCAAAAGGTCCTAATGGAGAATTTCAAAGTGACAAATTCAGATTTCCAACAATGACTTGCCTATCTGTGAAGTCAGGCAGACCATCTACAAGAGCTATTTCAGCCTATACTGAGAACTGGGGACAAGCTGATTGCAGCAATGTCTTCCCTCCTGTGCAATGTGCAGATGGAGATAGGGAGACTAAAGCAAAAAAATAAACACTGGTGCCTTGGGCCACTATCTGAAGCAGGAAGGCAAGATTAGCCACTAGCCACAATTTAGAGTTCAGCTATTGGGACCAGCTTCCACTACTAAAGCCAGGACTGGGAAAAGAATGTAGCTGGAAAGTTCACGAGTTTAGCCTTGGCCATCATGTTGCAAAGATCCCAAAGTAAATATCCGAGTCTTCCTAGGGTTCATCCTACAAGTCTTTAGTGTTCTTGACATGCTGTACCCTCCTTCCTTCCCCCCTAGACCCAATACTTAAAAAAAAATAAAAATAAAAAATCCTACCAATGGTGCAGATAATGCCAGTGTTTCGTGCTGTGGTTGGCTCAGAATCAATGTCCAGGCGACACATGTGTTCCAGGAAAGTGTCTGCCATGGCAGCGTGTAGCTGCTGGGTCTGGATGAAAGCAGTTCCTGCATCATGGTGTTTTGACATAGTTGCTGGAATTCTTTGCCTAGGAAAAAAAAAGGGAGAAGAGTTATGCTAGCAGGTAAATACAAGTAACCTTGTTTTTTAGGCTCAGAAGCTAAATATACTCTAATAGAGTTAGCTGAGATTTCTAGAGAACTCAAAGTAACTTTGTTTGGCGGTAGTGCATTTCACCATCAGTTCTTTGTACTTAAGGTGCATCATGCATGCAATCTGTTCAATATTTCTTATTTAAGCTATGTATACATAGTGATGATGTTAACTCTTTAGACTAGTATTCCGATTCAACAGCATGACAAAGATGTTCTGGAAAACTGCCTGGCAAGTTATATGGAAGTAAATGCTAGACTGAAATACCAATCTGTTCTCTACAGCTAGTTTATTCTGTTCCTTTGTAACAATTTCAATGGGCATTTAATGGAAGTTGTCAGGATGCTTAGACATGCAAATATAGTACAAGCTCCAAAAGAAACTGTTTAGAACTTGTTTGGGAAAAAACAAATTCTCTTTGTATATAGCCCTGGCTGTCTACGAAGCAGAGTTCAGCTTCTTTGAAAGGATCTGGTTAGACTTAATATTTGCTTATTGCACAAGAGACTGATGGTGGTAAAGAAATTCTTTGTGTGGAGAGAAAAACAGCATAGCAAATGGTTCTCTCAGACTATCCCTCTTATGATTACTGTATGGTTAAAAGAACTTGCACTGTTTAAGTTGCAATAGCTCCAGTGAAAAGCATGGCAGAAGTCTCCAGCTCAAGACAACCATTTAAGAGCTTTGCTATCTTAATGCTGCCCTAGGAAAAAAAGTTGCTATCCTGATTGCCAGAACTCAGAACATATTGATAGCTAGCTGTTGACAGGTGTTTGCTTCAAAATTCCCAAGATATGGAACACAAGCTGGCAACTTGACTATGGAAGAGGCATACACCCACCCACCACTACCATTAGGTTACCCAAAAGTTAGACCTGAGTGGTTTAATCTTTAGTTACATATTTAAGAGTCTTAGTTACAGACAAGGTGCATGTCTACCAAGAGCAGCACAGATTTCCTTTTCCAAGTTGAAGTCTTTTATATCCAGCTGCCAAAAATACGGATTAAACTTGCAGGAATTTACACCCAACCTTTTAAGTCTGGGTAGCTAAATAATAGGCTTACATTTTATTAAATACTGCACCTTGACAAAGAATCTATACACGTTTTCAGCCTCATACAACCTAGTGCCTTAAGTCACCTTCCAACCGAGGGCTTGGAAACCAGAACAATATGAAAAAGGAACTGACCGACAACCCTCTAAAGCCAAAAAAATCCTCACTCCCACCCACCCTTTAAATCCTAGAGAAGTTGTGCCCCTTCATTACTGACCCCAAACAATCCAAGGATATTAAATAACCCCAGGAAAGGTAAGCCTTTCTGTAACACCAGACACACCCAAGACATCTGAATTTTTGTTCTGGGCCCTGATCAGAAAGGATCTGAGAAACCAGAGAAAGTCTTCCTTGGCTTAAGGGGTGGGGGGCAAAGAGGTGTGCATCTACCCAACACACACCAGCCTCTGCAAGAAAGCAACATACCCACTTATGCCAAAACATATCCCTAAAGGATACAAGCAAGCAAGCAGCACACTGAGGTGAACGAAAAATTCTAGTTCCAATGCAAGGCACTGAACTGAGTGGCTCCACTTTGTTTTTTAAAGGAAGGACACTCATCTGCAGGCAGCCAGTAATTAGGACCCCAGACACCGATTGTTTACCCACCCTTTCTGTTGGAATCCGAAACGGCCTTTCCAGCCAAAACTGCCATTTCCCATCTTTGTCTCTTCCCTCCAGCTCTCTTCCCTCCTGCAGTCTGTCAACAGCAGCAGGAGGATTATCTAGATCTTGCCTTACTCAAGAGGTACAAGCACCTTCATCCAGTTAGAGAGACTTTTTTCAATGTAGGCCAACAGTTTAAGCTATTCATAGAAGACCAGGAAAGGCTGCGCTAGCACCTGAATTTTGCTTATTAGTGCCTGTAGCAGGCACAAAAAGCTACAGAACTAGAAACAAAGTTGCTTTATGGGATATAGGCAGACAAGGTTCCTTGGGTGAATCTGATATCTTTTATTAGACCAACCCAAATAGCTGGAGAATAGTTATTAAGCAAGCTTTTAGGTTCAAAAACCCTTCGTCAGGCTAAGGAAGGGTCAGCAGTTGGTGTGTGCTCTTCCTGGATGGAATGAAAAGTAAAGAAGCCAGGGGCTGGGCTGGGGATACATACTCATCTTGTGCTTAACTCAGTCCCAGCCATTGCCTCTGTAACAAGACTAGAAGTTCATGCACTCTAGATTGCTGTGTTGGAAGAGGCTGAAACAGCAGCATTACATTTGTCCTGCTAAGGAAAACTAGAGACAATAGGAAAATGAACTACACGTAGCACCATTTCCTGTAATCTAATAAGCCACAGTACTCCGCAGTACAGCTAGCATTCTTGTTTGACCATCAGCTACACATTCAGTGTTGTCATACTAAAAAGTCCCAGCTAACAAATCAATAAGCTCAGCCAGACACCCAGGGTAAGCCTTAACAACAGCCCCCCAACAAGGGAAGATCATCTGACCACGTGTTGGACATTGATGCCAGAGGAGAGCACCAGCTGCGTCAGAGGCTTCACTATGCTTAGCCCCTCCCTCCTCCACTTCTGCCAATCAGGCCTTCCAGCCTCCCTGCACCTACGTGCAGAGTCTCGCTTGCAGGCTCTCGTATAGCATGACTTGACTCAGTACATCCTCATTATGATGCAGAAATTCAGACCAAGGAAAACCTCAAGTCAATCTCTTCTCCAGCCCTACTGGAAGCTGCTGACTCAATGAAGCAGAAAGCAGGAGCCACATGGTTAGATTATTACACAAGCATGAACACTGCTTCCCTCCCTAAGACTGTCTTATGGGGGCTAGAGGCATGGGATGGGCTCCTTCACTCACAGTACTTGTGTAAGTGTGCTAGGGAGATCCCTTTATATGCTCAACTGAAGGGATCTCCCTAAAGTCAGCTTCCCAGCAAGCCACCCTGTGCACAAAGATTATGCCTCAGACTTTATTATAAGGTCACTCCTGGTCTTTTGATGGGTTTATCTGAGCCAAATTAACGCCAAGTCAATCATCAGGAATTAGCGTTGAAGTAATTTCTACAGGGGAAACATTTCTGAGATCCTCCTAAGAAAGCAAAACTGGTTTTAAATTCTGGTTAACACTAGCTTACTGGCAAGTATCATCCACGCACGTTATTCTAGATTCCAGTTACCCGACACCTATTAAAGCATTTAGATAATATTTTCCATTTGGTGGTTTAGCTGTATGCTAAGAGGCTATTATAATTGCAACACTTGAAGGACAGTGATTCTCAACCAACATGAAACAGCACTCTGGGGAGCTGCAAACTCTTTAAAGGGTACTGTGGGCTGCCTCTCAAAATTATCACTGTTAAGTGTGTTCACCCGTGCTTCACAGGATAAACCCAGAGATCTCAAATAAGAATCTGGAGTGTTAAAATAATGCTGGCCTGTTACAGTCCAAGTTCTTTGCTACAGCAGAATTGCTCTATTTTTCCATAGCAAAATAATCATCATAGTAATTATCAGAGACTGAAAGCTAAGAGTTAGCATTTTGAGGGTCACCTGGAGTCTAAGAAGGTTGAGAACCACTATTCAGAGACTGAACTCTAGCAATAACAGGTTTTCACATCCCCACTGGCCAACTGATGTTAATGGACATTGTGTGCTGTCCAAGATGTTTCTAGTACCAGCCACGAGAGACATCACCTAGCTCTCTAGCACGTACCTACAGGCTATGATGAACCATTAGAGAAGAAAACAGGCAGTTCTAAGTCACAAGCTTTTCCACAGCAAATAAACTCTTTGCCCCACCACCCCTTTTAACGGTAGCCAGCAGTTCATGGAAAACTCCAGTCATTTACAAACGACACCAATTCAGATTTCACACATTCTGTGGTGAGAATTACTGGAGAAGGGAAATTAAAGAAGAGTTTCATTTGCAGTCAGAATCCCCCTTATGAGTTGCACTGGAAAAAGACTGCTCACAAATAGATCACAGAAACCGGTCATAGGTATTGAGACCCGTGTGGCTTTTGCACAAAGGGAAAGAAAAGCAGCAGTAAGAATACAGACACAAAATCTGCTTTTTCGCATGTGTCCTTAGTTCAGCTTTATTTGTGCTCTATATTTCTTTCATATTTCTTTAAGGTATTTCCAAATCCTGACCTGGTGGGGAATTAAAATGGTATGGGTGACATCTTTACTACAGTAAACTAGTGAGGGTCAGCTTTGTGGCAGGTGTGCCACAAGTTAGACCCACCCTCTCTCCAAGTGCCACTCCTATCCCCTTTGTTTGCCCAATTTGCTGCTCTTTCTGGCTCCTCACTTCTACTGAGTACCCCCCCACCACACACACAGTCCATGATATCAGTAGCAACTGTGCCACAAGTTGGCCATGCTTTCATTAAATATTTATGAAAGGCAGAGGTGCAGAGATACTTCATGGCACTGGCCATCTTAAACCTGATATTTCTCTTCCATTCTGTTTTACAACAAAAGGTGCAACCAATAAAAACCCAGGTTAGTGTGGAATCAAACCTCATCATGCATCTGGCTTAGATGTGTAAACTGATCCATCTTAGGCTTTCATTTAGCATGCTCCAATACTAGTGATGCCTGGCAAGGACAAAGTGTTGAGAAGTTAATCCTTGTATGGTTCTTGACAGAACAGAGGGCACAGGAGGGCAGATTCTATTTATTGCTTCCCTTTGCAAAAATAAATGAAAATAATTAAGTGTGTATGAAGGGGATAATAACCCTCCACTGCACTATTACTGGAAGATCACAGATCAATGTCATTGATCAGAAGGGCAAGTACTTTTCATAGGCTTGAAAAACTTCAGCACTTGGAACACTTAAGCATCTGTCTGGCTTAAGGAAGATTCTCAACTCAAGAGAAAGAAAAGTTAACAAATTAGTTATTCTAAATGAGAAGAGC